TACTATAGTTTTTCACACCAAAGAAATTATTCGGTATTTCAGTTAAAGAAATCTATGTATGAACATTAAAAATAGGGAATCCTAAAATAAAACTAAAAAGGAAAGTAAAAGAGAAAAGACAATGATGTAACATCAAAATAATCCTTAATTCTGGAGATGAAAATGGTCCCTGAACATATTTAAATTGCTTCTCCCTCTTATAGTCTTATCTTATTCTTTTTAAATCACATACAAAGGAAAGCCCATCAGAATCACAGCAGACTTTTCAACACAAACCCTTGGGGCAAGGAGAGCCTGGAATGAGATATTTCAAGTACTAAAAGAGAACAACCTCCAACCTAGACTGATGTACCCAGCAAAACTCTCTTTCAAAATGGAGGGGGAAATAAGACACTTCCACGACAAAGAACACCTGAGAAACTACATGAATACCAAACCAGAACTACAAGCAATTCTAAACAAGATCCTAGAAAAAGACAATGAAGGCAACAACACCATAAGGCCCAACAGAGCAAATCAAATAGGCAAGGCAAGAAATTAAAAGAAGGTGAAAAAGTAAAAAGAGTCAACAAAAGGCCAATAACATGTCAATAATAAGTCAGTACATATCAGTTATAACCAGCAATGTCAATATTTTGTTTTTTAATTGTTTGCATTAGAAGCCAGTTTGAGCAGATTAGATATGGTTAAGAGCCATTTTCATGTCTTTTTGTTTGACATTTTTATGCTTATGTCTAGTCCACTTTGTACATGGATGCTGGGCTTTCTCTTTCCCATTGCTTAGAAGTCCTTTATTTGTGTTGGATGGGAGACAGCTCCCAGGACTGAAAGGCAGATTAATTCTTTTGCTGAAATGCAACAGTCATTAAAGTTTTTTTTGTTTTGTTTTGTTTTGTTTTGTTTTTGGTTTGTTTGTTTTTTCTGGATTTGGGAATAAGCTAACCATATGTTGCCTGGTGTTTTGGTCCTGATCTTCTTCCAAAACAATGATGAAATTTTCCTCTTCCACGTTCTCACTTTGCTGTCAGAAACTCTCAGGTCCCACTGTATCAGGTCCCACTGTATCCTTTCCTCCTTCCCACTCCAGCCTGAGTTGCTTCTCCCTCTCCCTCTGTGAGGATGGCAACAGCTTTAAAGTGTCATTCCCTCCCTCCTTGCACACATCCATGTTTCTGTCTCTTCATAGTAAGCCTTACCAATGGAGGCTCATTTGTGTTTTGCTTTTGCTTTTAAAGCATTTTTACACATTTAAGTCTCTTCCTATGGTTTCTGGATTATGAATTAGAGTTGAAAGATCTTCCTACTCTAAGGTTATGCAGATACACATCCATGTTTCCTTCTAGTAGGTACAGAACCTCATTTTAACATCAAATTTCTCATCTAACGTATTTTGTAATTAAGGTATTTCTGATACACTTTGTTGTATAATAAAATATTTTTATTTCACATATTTCTTTGGTATTTGACAGTTTCAAAATCACATCTAGTCTTACAGGGCATCTTTTCTGTATGCTCATGTGTTTCTGCAATTTTTCTTCTCACTTTGTTCACAATTATGAAATAATTAAATATTTTGATGTTATTTGGGAGCATTTCGATTATGGTTTTCATCAATTATGTGACTGAACTGCTATTTCTCAGGTGCTTTTACTTACTGGATCTTCACTTAGAAGCAAAGCTTGACCCTCTTTTACAGTTATATTTTACATTTAATCTTTTTAATTATTTTTGTGTCTCTGTGATTTTGGAAATAAAACTGGGCTTTCTCACTGAGCTACTCCCTCAGGTCTTTGTTTTTAATATTTTTATTTTGAGACAGAGTATCTTGAAATCACAAAGTTTCCCAGTGTGGCTGGATTCAAACTTGTAGGGATTACATGTGTGTGTCACCACACCTGGCATATAAACTTCGATTGGTAGATTGCAGCAGTAACTGGATAGATCCAAGGTGATTCCCCAAGCACTCCATGTTAAAAGTTTCTCTTTTGTTTCTATAAAGGATTTATAAAGATATTATCTTGCTCTCAGTTATCTTCTAAAAGGGACCTCTATCATCAGCTTTGGCTTTCTTGTACCTTGAAATGCATGCCATAATTTATTGAAACTCAAAATGTGGTACTTCTGAGAAATAGCCTCATCCAGTTTCCAACTGTTCTTTCTCCTATTCCTTAACAATATTACTTTGGTGTACTGTATACCCAAAATGTACCAATAAACTCAATGAGAGAAAAAAAACAATATTACTTTGGAGCAGGGGACTTAGCTCAGTGGCACTGCACCTTCCTGGCAAGCACAAGGTCCTGAGTTTGATTCCCAGTATGGTACAGGGCACTGTTGCTTTGATATTAGTTCTATGTTAAGTTCACCTTCTTTTAGGATTCTCTTTTTTTGAAAGTCAACATGGCAAAAACTTGTAATAATAGATACTGATAATGTAAGTAATGATACAATGTGTAGATAAATTAGTTCCATTCTCTGTGCAACTCTATTCTCAGTTGCATTTCATGTATACTAACATTTGATTTTTTTCTCAGGTGGTAAGGAAGACTTACATGGAGAGCTTGTTGAGAATATATAGGAAAGTGACAATTACTTCAGCTAAAAGGAAATGAGAAGGAGGATTACCTTCTCATTTCTGAGCAAAAATACTCAACACTCACAAGTTAAAGAAATAAAGTGTATTTCAGCTCACTGTTTGTAGAGGTTTCAATATAGTCAGCTGGTAGCAAAGCAGAGTGCTATGGCTGAGGAGGTTGGTGGAAGAGAAAGAGTTCATGGAATGTCAGGCAGGAGGCAATGAGATGTCCTTATTTTCTCTTTTTATTCTATCTGGGCTACGAGTCTATTGGATGGTATGGTACCACCCACACCCGAGGTGAGGGTCTCCTCTTTGCTAAGACCACAATCCACATCCAGAACTGTGCTAAACCACTAAGTGGACTAATCCAGTACCAAGCACACACGATCTAATATCACACACCTATGACCCAGTTATTCCTAAAAACCCTAGTTATTAAGTGCATGAGGATTTGGAGGTACGTCTAATATAAACGGTAATGGGGATATGGTAAAAATTCTATCATTTTTGTGCTCTAATGTTTCTCTAATTTAAATTCACAGATTAGATGTAAGCTAATTAGAGAGATCCCTGAAATCAATACTGTGGAATTTTCCCCATTAATACTTGGAGTAGAATAGACAGTTGTTGTCATGTGTTTCCAAACATCACCTAGAACATAATGGGTTTGCATACCAAGGCCATGTTTTGGAACAATCAACTAGACATTATGTACTCTCTCTTATATATCTCCTTAATATCAAAGTAATAAAACTCAACATTATATATGATTTAATATTTTGCATTCTATTCTATGTATTATTGCTATATCTGTAGTGATGTCTGAGCTTTGCTTTTTTAAGCCTCCCATATAGATCCCTGTCTTTGTGGCACATTCCCATTCATGACTTGCTCTGGAATGCTGCTTTCAGTAACATCTGATCACAATTTGCTTTTGTGGATTGGTTTTGCTGACCCTACTTTTCTTAAAACTGCAGGTTCTGAAATTGCTGTTGCTTTGGTTATTGGTCTCCTTAATATTTTATATAATATCTTTCATTCCCAGCAGAACTGAAACTCAGCTCAGGCATTTAGAAAAGAGACTTTTAAAACTAAATATAATCTCTTATATTTGAAATTAGGAGGCTCAAGCCACGTAAAATAAAATTTAAAATTCACTAATAGACTCTTATAAGATTCAATAGTGGAAGAAATTCACCGAATTTATTGTTTATCATTTTACATTTTTCCTTTACAGAGAATAGTAATTTTTTAAAATCTATTTTTCCAAAGTTCACCACTGGAATAGATATTTAAAGATTATACATATTCTGGCTTCAAGAAAACATAAAGTAAACCATACCACCTTTGACTTTCTAAATAACGAAGGTGAACATATACAAGCAGCTTAGCTCAAAATATTCATTGTAATTTCATTTAAACTCTGTACAAAGTTATGTAGATGTCTAATAAAGATAAATTTAGTAATATTCTCAAATAATAGTGTTTTGTCTTTGAAGAAATACGTAATTATTTTATAAAATGTTATATTGATCTCAAGCACTTTTTCTACGTTGGACATACTTTAATGGAAAAATAATAAAAGCAAACACTTCTTTATTGTTTCCATTTCCCCTTATTTCTTCTCAAACTAAATCTACTTTTAGTTGTCAAGGTTCTAGTTAAGAGTATTTCATGTACTGTAATTATTTCCATCTAGATATACAAAAGTCATTTGTATGACACAATGTTTGATTCCATATATTCTAGTGTTATAAAACAACTCCACATGGATTCTTTAAAGTCCATTATAAAAGTGGAACTTGGGACTTCTAATGTGTGACAGAGGACAAATAAAGAAAAGAGAGAAGAGGGACGGGATTTAGCTCAGTGGTGTTGCTGCCTGCCTCGCAAGTGCAAGGTCCTGAGTTTGATTCCCAGTACAAAAAAAAAAATATATATGAAAGAAAGAAAGAAAAGAGAAGAAATGAGGCATCTTAGGAAATAAACATCAATGGAGCTTTATTTCCCTAGATGTGAATGACATTTAAATGATGTGTACATTTACAGAGTAAACTATGATGTTTTCATGTATGTTTTATGAAATTATTAAATAAACCAATTAGTATTGCAAAATCTTAAATAATGTCATCTGCTAAGAACATTTTATATCTAATCTTTTACTAATTTTCAAATATAAATGAATTTTTAACTATAGTCATTATCCTCTATAAAGATCTCCAGGAACCTATTTATCTGGTCTAACTGAAACTTTTTGCTGTTAAACTATATGGAGAAAGCATATTTGCTTTTTGGTTTTTGGTTTTGTTTTTTTGTACCGGGGATTGAACTTGGGATCTTGTGCTTGCAAGGCTGGTGGTGAAACAACTGAGCTAAATCCCCAGCCCAAGAAAGCATATTTGAAGGCATACTGTTGGGCAGTAAAGAGAGAGCCTGAATAAGCCTAGAAAATACCTAAATAAATACATTATAGAAAGTAAAATTGGAAAGGAAAATGTACTATAATGTTAATATTTTTGTAACAGAAATTAAAATAAAAAGAGCCCTAGCATAAAGGAAACAATGTGATACTTACACTATAAAGGGAAACTGGTGAGAAGAAATCAAGTGCATTTATGTAATGGCCATGTTCTACATTTTTGGCCACCTAGACCTTTTGTATATCTTTCCTGTGCTTCAGAATGTTTTTATACAAATCCTGAAACCAAAAAATATCCACACCCACAGTGACTGTCTTTTTGATGTGTCAACTAGGGAAAGTTAGGGTCCCAATTATTCTATCAAAAGCTAACCTGGGTGGTCCTGAGAAGCTATTTTATAGATATGATTAAATTTCACAAACTTCTGACTTGAAGTAAGGAAGATTATCCTTGTTAATCTCTGTAGCCTGATTCAATTACTTTTAAGGCCTCAAGAGCAGATATGAGTCGTACCTAAGAAAGAAGAAATTCTTCCCGTGGACATCAGCTTAAGCTTGTGCTTCACAGCTCCAACTTGCCTCTCTAGGCTGCCTGCTCCAGGTTTAGAATTTGGCTAGCCAACTCCCACAACTACATAAGCCAATTCTTTGTAGTAAATCTCTTCATACATATTTCCTTCTGTTATTCTCCTAATTAAACTTTTAGTTAATACTGATTTTCTTGCCTAAATTTTGGGATAGTGCTGAAATAATATACATTAGAAATATGGTATATAGCTTTCGTATAGGGCATGAAAAGAGGCTGCACATATTTTTCAAACATGATAGAAATGTTTAGATTTTCTTTAACACACTGGGGAAATATAAATCTTTGCAGCTCTGGCCCTGGTACTAAACACACAGGAAGTTAGAAGCATGGTAAAGCCTGAAGCATCTTAGAGAATATTTAAATAATTGTAAATGTATTATTAGTAGATATATGGAAGTTAAAAGTGCTGCTGTTATGGATTCAGAAGGAAATGAGGAACATACTTTTGGAAATTGAAAGAAAGAAGGATCCTAGTAATACAGTGACAGCAATATTAGAAGCATTGTGACTTACAATTATATAGAAAATAGAACTTGGGCCAGGGATTTAACTCAGTGGTATCACCTCCTGCCCCACAAGTGCAAGGTTCCCAGTTCGATCCCCAGTACAAAAAAAAAAAAAAAAAAAAAAAAAAAAAAAAAAAGAAAGAAAGAAAGGAAAAGAGAGTTGCCAGTGTTAAGCTGAATACTTACCTGAGAAGATTCTCAAATTGTTGAGGGAATGGACTGTTTTCTTCTAGCCAATTAAAAAATAGTCTGAAAGAGAAATTGAGGGAAGAATTATAAACCAAAATAAACTAGGATGGGTAATTGTTTGGAAGTTCTTAGCCTAACCAGATTGCAAAAGGTGATAAAATTAATGGTTTTACTTTCAGAAGAGAGGGCTCTACAGAGGAAAAAAATATTGAGTGCATGTTAATGGGGACTGGCTAGCATGCCAAAAATATCAAAAGATCAGAATACTCAGGCACACAAAACATTATTTTAGAAGTGTGTGTCTCATAAATCTCCTCAGTCATCGAGGGAGCAAAAAACAAAACAAAAAAAAAACATTGGATAGACAGAGGATAATGATATAAAGGAAGGTATGATTCAGAGGATAGATCTATAAATTAGAAGCAAGAAAGGTGATGAGATGAGGGATGTTCGGAATCCATTTTCAGATGCGATTAGAAGAGGCGCTGTTGGGCTTCAATTACTGAGGTGGTGAAGAATATGGTGCCAAAACTGCCACAGTATTGGGGGGCAGAATCACTGTGCTCAGGTACAGAACAGTGTGGTCCTCATGGAAATTCTGGTGAGGTTTTGACTTTGATCCTTGCTTTAGTAGGCCAAGACCCCAAAGTCCAATTTGCTCTCTTTCTAGACGTTTCCTGATCTACCAAATATCTTTTAAAATTTTTGAACTAGCTACCATGTGTTCTGTTTTTCTTTGTTAATAAATTCTGACATATACAATTTATGAAGGTAGAACTTGCAGGGAATTTTTGAAAAATAAGTTGTACTTTAGGATTAATGTGGAAATAAATGTTAAAAAATTGAAGAAACAGGATAGAGAACACTTTGTTTAATAATCTATGTCCTTCTGTTATTAACTCCTGAGACAAAGAGAGTGCCAAATCAGTCTTGCAGTGAATGAACTAGGACCTTTATTTTGTCTCTGGGCAAATGAAATGCTAATTATCTTGGTGTTTTAAATTCAAGCAGCTTATTCTTGCATTGGCTTGTAGGAACTCAGGCAAGTATAATCTCATGTAGGAAAATCCTCTATTGTTTATAAAAGAGGAAAAATTAGCATCTCCTTTTGCAGTGGGAAAAAGTGAAAAACTTTCTGTCGATGAAACTATGCAAGATATTTCCCCATAAATTTATTAATTCTTTAATTCATTTTTGTTTGCATTACTGGAAATATACTACTTACTTAACAATAACAGTATATCTCTGATTAATTACTTAACTATGATAGTATATCTATGATTAATATATGAACTTTGCCTTCCAAGAAGTCTAAACCTAAGAGAAAATACAAATACAGTAAAAAATATGAAATAATAGAAATGCAGTATTCTAGGATTTTAGAGAAATGTACAGTTAAATTTATTCCTAGAGTCACACATAGTTTTTAAAGCAAAAGTACTATTTATTATTAGTGATATTGGATAATGAAGAGAGGAGAAAATTAAAATAAGATGTATTCTTATCAGAGAAGTTGACGTATAAAAAGCCACAAATTTTTTTATGAACATCGAGTAATAGAATTGAAAGAAGTGAAGACTATATGTTTATGTGTATGTGTATAGCAGCATGTGTGTTGCATACTGACTTTATAGGAAACATTAACCTAAACACATCTGTAACCTCCCCTTTCTGCAATGACATTTAGTCTTGAGGACAACCATACAATGATTAAAGAGATTATAATTCTATCTGCTGCTAATAGGAATATCCTGAAGAGAAGAGATGAAAGTAGGGTAACTACATAATTATGCCTTTAACCCTAGTTAGAAGTCATAAGGTGATTAAACTGGACAATGATATAGAAAGACAAGCATAACTTTATCGGTTTTAAAGAAATGGAAAAGGGTGGTTTGGGAATGAGTAGTGTAGTTTTTGTGAGAAGACAGTGCATTTACCCAGTGGAATCTCTCATATTTTAATTAATGATCAAATGACTTAATTTTTTATCCTATTTGAGTTCATCAAATCCATGACTGTCTTAAATTTATGAAGATTTTGAGGAATTATTTATATGTGTTTTGTATACACTTGTGTATTTATGTGTTTGTGTTTTACATCTGAAAATGTGAATGAGCTAGTTAAAAGAAAGCATGCCTTATTTGAGCTTACAAAATAAACACTGAAAACTTTCATGAATTATAAACTAATCATTATTCAGAACAGTATTTTCAATACTTCCCAGATTTATCATACATAGATATATTGAATCTACCATTGTGAATGTTTCCATTTCTGACACATATCCCATTTCCCATTTCTAATCTCCCTTTATCTCAGGATCCACCAAAATAAAACACTGTTAGAGATATATTTTCTAAAATTAAATCAAACATTGTGCAACATGATCTTCCACATCTCAGAGAGAAACATTTTTGTTTCAGTAATTTCCAGAGCTATCAAACTGATGATGGTTAATAACTTTCATTGATGAGAAAGTAAGAGCATCCACTGAATTTAATACTCCTAGAAGAAAGGAAAGGTAGTGTATTAGTTACTTTCCTCTCATCGCTGAGACAAAATATCCAACACCCAAAGTTAGAGAGGAAGGGGCTTATTTGGCTTACAGTTCATAGAGGTTTCATTCCTTAATTGGCTGGCTACAAGCAGGAATGGCAAACAGCCATTGCAGAGGAGAAACAACATGGCAAGCACAAGGTAGCAAGCGTAACTACAAACTTTTATCTTATTCAGACTACTTAGGGTTGGAATCACTCACACACTTAATCCTAGTACCCTTGAGCCTGGCATTGCATCATCAATCAATTCCAGCTTCACAAACTCTAGATCAAGCTTGAAATCACATGAGACTTTGGGGGGTATAGACCCAAAACATAACAGGTAAAACGAAAACTGGAATCATATTTGTTTTTAGCTATCTAGATAATAATTCTAAACCTTATGAAATAGCAATTATTTTTCTCTTGATTGCAAAGCAAGGAAATCATCAATGTTATGTTTCTAACCCTTTCACAAGTTCAGAAAATTTCTAACAACCAGGAAATGGAGAAAAGAAATAGTAATTGGAAAATTTTGGAAACAGTAAGTTAGAATGGTCTGATATACCGCCAATAAGAGATAAACAGGTGTAATTAAAAATATAAATTAGGGAGGGCAGGAGGGGGTGAAGGGAGGGCAGGAACAAGGAGAAAAAATGAGAACCAAGACCTGTCATGTGAAGGTACAAGATCCCTATAATGAATGTAACTGTACCAATAAACAATGAGAGAGAAAAAAATACAAATAAGGAGATACGTGAGAACAAGCTATATATTTTGGAATCACTGATGGATTCAAAGTTGGAAACTGTGAAACCAGAAAACTTCATCCAAAGCAGAATCCAATAGAGAAAGACATACTTTAAAACAATTTTTAATTTATTCTTAAGGTGTTCTATGTACATGCAAACCCCCCATGGTGAATGTGTTAGTCATGTGCTTTAAACACATAATAATTATATCAAAAATTTTAAATTAAAAGGAAATTTGAGAAAAGTGGCCAATATTTTGATTCACTCATGACAATAAGCTTATTGCATGTTTGAGTAATTCAAATGCTGCTATCCTATTAGGAATATTATTAATATTCTTTACTTTTTAAAGTTGAGCTAACCTTTGACTATACTTGCATGGATTATTGAAATTATGATAGAAACATCAAATTATAAAAAAGTTTTAAGTTTTATTTTTATGCCCTTCTAAAAGTTAGTAAAAGACTGACATAAGCATGATTATACACTCAGAATAATGAAACAGAAAGATAAAAATGCAACTACATGAAAATAAAATAAGTGTTTCCCAAGATTCAAGTAATTCATTTTGGTTAATTCCTTGGAGATTTCTCCTCTCTTTGGTGAATAATTGAGATACTGGCACTGTATTTTGCTAATACTACTAGTAATAGTAGTAGTAATGGTAATCTATTTGGGTTCCTATAACAAATTACTATCAACTGGGTAATTTGTTATATATATATTTCAAAATCCAGCATCAAAGGACCAGCAAATTCCATGCCTAGTGAGTGTCTGTTTCCTATATAAACAGTAGATACCTTCCCACTGTGTCCAAGCAAGGTGAGCCTATGCAGTTTTCTTGGGTATTTATTTATTTAAATATTTATTCACTGTGGCACTGGGGCTTTACATGGGCCCCTTGTGTTGAGATACATCCACAATCCCTTCCTTCCTTCCTTTTTATTTTGAGATAGAGTCTCACTAAGCGATGACTTTCAGTACTCCTGCTTCAGCCTCCCAAAGGGCTGGGGGGACAGTTGTACACCACTGCACCCCACACACATACCACAGGTGCAGGATGTTTTACACAAGGTCACCAGTACCATTCACGATGGTTCTTCCCTCTTGACTTTATCATCTCTTCAAACATCCAACTCTCGAATAACATCGTCTTGGGATTCAGTTTTCAAGGTGGATTTTGGGAAGGGGCACAAATAGTGGAGACATATATGAGCCATATTTTAATGAAAAAGCAGTCCTTTTGAAAATATCTTTTCTATGCTAGCTCTAAGGTCCCATAAAATGCCCTAAGTTATAAAGAAAATCAATGTTATGGGGGTTTTGACAGTCTCATAATTGCATTTCTATGAGTTCCTTAAATTCACTTAGGTTTGAAAATTAAAGTCATACATCATAAATTCAGAAAGTACAAATACTAGATGCCCCTTTCTGCAACTGAGTCAGATGTAACTATGAATGTTTATGATTGAAGAAAAATGTTTTCATAAGTACTTTTCTTATTAGATCAAACCCTGGTATCAGTAAAATTTCCAAACCTGACTATCTGAAACACATGTGAAAGTTATTTGTAAAATTAATGTAAACACTCAAAATCCTTGATGCAGCTTTTAAGATATCAATTTATTTTTTAAATATTTCTATGGCTACTCTAACATGCAAAGTATATCTTTATTGTCCATTTGTCGATTTTTCTTCCAGTTTCATCGGTTGTCTCACTATTGTTTCTGATAGTACACAAAGTCTTTCAAATTGGACATATTGTCACTTA